AATAATCCTTAAATTGGAATCAATTGAATTTAAATGGTTTTAAAACACCCATCTTGAAACCCAAGATTGAAAAAAAGAGATGATTAGGACACCTTGATGCCCACAATGCATTCAAGTAAAGAAGCCTGGATGAGTGCCTTATACCCAAGGCCACTGAAAGACTGGGCAACTGAAAATGATTGTTGAGACAATGTCAGTACTTGCTAAAAGATCACAAAGAATGAGAAAGGTGCCAATAGATTGGAAAAGGTCAAATTCCCCAATGTTCATAAAAAGGACAATAATCTGAAGTAAATAAACCAATGGACTTGATTTCTGTTTCTAGCAAAATCCTAGAAAGAGTAGTCTATGAGCATTCAGAAAGGAAAACTATGAACCATCATGGTTTCACCAAGAATAGGTCAGGCCAGATTCACCTTACCTCCTTTTTTTTTTGTGAGGCAATTGGGGTTAAATGACTTGCCCAGGGTCACACAGCTAGTGAGCGTTATGTGTCTGAGGCTGGATTTGAACTCAGGTCCTTCTGATTCCAGGGCCAGTGCTCTATCCACTACACCACCTAGCTGCCCTCTTATCTCTTTTTTTTGATAGAGTTACAAGAGACTGCTAAGATCAGGGGAATACTATCATATTGCCATTGTACCTAGATTTTTAGCAAATAGACTTGTGGACAAAAAATATGAGGAACAGATGATAGTTCAGTCATATAGATTCAGAACTGGTTGAATTATCAGACCCAAAGAATGGGGCCATGTCAACTTGGAGGTAGGCCTTTAGTGCAATTAGAAATCTGTCCTTGGCCCTATGCTAGTCAATATTTTTATCAATGATTTTGATGAGGTAATAAATGATGTATTTGGCAAACCTGAATGACATGAAGTAGGGAAAAACAGCTAACACAGCAGATGATAGAGTTAGGAACCAAAAAGATGACAAAAAACTAGAAAATAGGCCAGATCTAAAAAGATAAAATTTAATATGAAGCCCTATACTTGAGTTCCAAAAATGACCTTATCAAGTACAAGTTGGAGGAGGGCATGGTTAGACAACAATTAGTGTGAAAAAGATGTGGGTTTGTTGTCACAACCTAGGGTCAGTATGATTTGACAATATGACTTAATAACCAAAAAAACACCCCTAATGTCATTTAGATGGTGTTTAGAGAGGCATGCTGCTCCAAACAAGAGAGGTGATTGTTCCACTGTTTTGTCCAGTTAGACCATGTCAGGAGCACCGTATTCTATTCTGACTGCCACATTTAAGGAAAGACATTGACAAATAGAAAAGAATGTAAGATTGAAGGTCATTTGATACAAGAATCAGTTGGGAGTGTTCAGGATGTTTAGCTTAAAGAAAAGAGGACTTGGAGATGTGAGGTGGAGGACCATGATAGCTGTATATATTCAAGTAGTAGAAAAATAACTACAATAGATTTGTTCTGCTTGAACTGAGAGGATAAAACTAGGCACAATGGGGAGAAGTTGAAAAGAGATGTATTTAGGCCTGAAAAAGGAAAACTTCTTAACAATTAATAGTTGTATAAAAATAGAATGAGCTATGGGAGGTAGTGGGTTCCCTTGGGGAATTCAGGCAGAAGCTGGATGTCTTAGGGGTATCTTAGAGTGAAGTTCTGTTCAAACACTGTTGGAACGATGTTTTCTAAGGTTTCCTTCAGCTCTGAGATTCTGTGATTTGATGAACCCAGAGTGTCAGCAGGGTATCCACTAAGTGATCATAAAAAGATATATGATATTCATTATTTGGTTAAAATTGTTGAGAAAACTGGAGAGCAGTCTGGCAGAAATCAGGCATACACCAATATTTTACACCATTTATAAAAATAAGATCAAAATGGATACATGACCTAGATGTAAAGAGAGATATTGCAGGAAAATTTGAAGAACATGAAATATATTGCCTATCAGACATGCGCGGGTGAGCAATTTGTGAATGAACAAGAGATAGAGAGCAGCGTGAAGTGTAAAATGGATAATTTTTATTACATTAAATGTAAAAGTTTTTGTACAAATAAAACAAATGTAGCCAAGATCAAAAGGAAAGCAGAAAATTAGGGGGGAGGGAATTTATAGACAGATTCTCAGATAAAGGTCTTATATCTCAAATACATAAAGAACATTGTCAAATCTATAAAAATATGAGTCATTCCCTGATTAATAAATGGTCAAAGAATATGAACAGGCAGCTTTCCAATGAAGAAATGAAAAAATTTGTAGTCATATTAAAAAATGCTCTGAATCATTATTGATTAGAGAAATGCCAATCAAATCAACGTTCAGATATCATTTTATATATATCAAATTGGCTAAAATGATTGAAGTGGAAAGTGACAAATGTTGGAGGGGATGTGGAAAAATTGGGACATTAATTCATTGTTGGTGAAACTGTGAACTGATCCAACCATTTTGGAGAGCAATCTAGAATTATGCCGAAAGAGTTATTAAACTTCCTATATCCTTTGACCCATATTATGCATGTTTCCCAAGATGATTAGGGAAAAAAGAAAATAAACTATATTTTATAAAATATTTATAGGAGCTATCTTTGTGGTGGCCAAGAACTGGAAATTACAGGGATGTCTGTCAATTAGGGAATGGCTAAACAAGTTGTGGCATATGATTGTGCTGGAATACTACTGTGCTATAAGAAATGATGAGCCCTATGATTGTGGGAAAACATGGATAGACTTGCATGAAATAATGATGCGTGAAATGAGCAGAACCAAGAGAACACTATATACAGTAACAACAATTGTTTTAAGAACAACTCTGAGTGACTAAGTCATTTTGACTATTATGAATACCCAAATTAACTACAAAGGACATATGAAGGAAGACACTATCTGTATCCAGATTTCTGACAAATAGAAGTATGTATAGAATGGTTTTACATAGTTCTGTGCAGTTTCTATTCTATGAAGTTTCATGTACAATCACCTTTTTTCTATTCTATGTTATGAAAATGCTTGTTTTATTTCTTAATTCAAATAATTCAAAAAATTCAAAAATTCCAAATAAATAAAAATTTAAAAACAAATAAAAAAAATGTATAAGAACCAGGAAAAGGAATGAAGCTTTAGACCACATCCCTGGCCCAAGTGGGCACTGAAAGGGAGGACATTAGTTCTCTAAAACATACAAGTTCTAAGTTATTTCACTGTTGGCTTGAATGATAAAAGAGTTGAATTATAGCATCCCTATGGGCTCTAATATTCTACTATAGCCTATTTTGTGGGAAGCTTATTGTATTTTAAGTCAGAGGACCTGGGTTCAAATCCCAGTTTTATCACTTACTCTTTGTGTAACATTGAGCAAGTCATACCCTCTGTCCCTCAATTTTCTCATTTGAAAAATGAGATGATTGGATTAGATAACCTCTATGGTCCTGTCTAGCTCTATACCTACAACTCTATGATTTGATTTAAAATTAATTTCCTGTAATATCTAATAGCTAAATTCACAACTATGCTACTGATTAATACTGGCATTTGTTAAGTTCAAAATACAGTCTCTAGGAACTGATTTGCCAGCATGTCACAGACCTAATTGCATTTGTTCTTCTCCAATACCTCTCTATTACTTTTAAGCATCTGGGGGAAGAACTGAAAGGTGTAGAACTAAAGTTGAACTGTTGTACTTGGGGGGATAGTTTTAACCCTATTTCCCACTGAAGACTGAGCCTTTGAGATCATTGTCCCCATTCTGCTCGATAGATAAGTACACTGAGCATGTGCAATCCACAAGTATCCAGATGAAAAGTGGAAAAATACTCAAGGACCATTTGTTTCATAGGAAGTAAAACATTCATGGAGATTTTTTTTTAAAATCAGCTGAATTTTCCTCTTTGAGGGGAACATTGAGTTTGATGCCAACTTCATTCAAGTTCATTTTTGATGGCTCCTGCTAAGGCTAATGTGGTTTTACTTATTTTAATGGCAAGGATTTCGTAATTGGATTAAAATAAAAGTAACTCCAGTATAAACTAGTTAATTGTCAAAGAGCCCTAAACTTCCTCTATCCTAATCCCATTCTTCCCTTATTTAGCCTATTGATGACCTATAAGAAGAGAAACCTAAGCTATTACTGATGTGGTTACTTCTCAGGTCTTACTTAGTCTTTTGCTAAATACAGTGATCCTAAGTAGTGGTAATCCTAATTAAGGTACTATCCAGGCTCAAATTTACAACCAAACCAACCAGTTTTACAACTCAAAGGAATTTAATCTGGCCCCAGAATTGCAGCTGAAAAACACAGAAGAATGAAAAAGCTGGTAACCCCACTCTAGCTTTAACAAGCAATGTATACAATTCTCATTCAAGTTCAAGGATGAAGTAAAATAGAAAATCCTGAGAAAGGGCAAGGAGTTAATTCATTGGAAATGATCAAATTTAAAAACTTCCAGTGGAAGTAGGTATCTTCAAATAGTTTTAAGACATAGCCCAGTATGCAAGTGAGTAAATAAACATATGGAAATATTCAGAAACTGCTCATGTCTCAAACATGATGAATAATCAGTCCCAACTTGCTGATATACATCACTAAAGTATTAATCATATCTGTACCCAGAGGGACATCTGTACCTTTTGTGGGTAGAATAAAGATGGTAAAGGATTACAAACATCATCACATATTCACAAAAGATAGTCAATGGATTCATATCACACACACACACACACACACACACACACACACACACACACACACACACACAATTTACCAAAAATAGCAAGGGACAGCTCCACAAGGAAAAACATTCTAAACAGAGTTTGAATTTGATTTATGTCAAGATTGTTCTTCTTTTTATAAGAAAAATCACTTAACTTCTGTGCTTCAGTTTCTCCATCTGTTAAATGAAGAGTTAAGACTAGATAGCTTCTAAGATCTCTTCTCAATTTCAGTCTCAATCTATGATCTATGATTTATAGTTGAGGCCATATCTGGTTTTGCCCTTAGCCAGAACTACATTGGTCTTCCCCCACTTACCTGTGATCAACACAGCTCTCCCATCCACAGGTAACATTTCTTGACTGGTTGAGTAAGCCAAAGAGATGCAACATGCCAAGGAGAAGAGAGTCCAACCCCAAAAGACTGATAAACTGGAAAAGCAATAGGCTCCCCATAAGCAAAGCAAAGCCAAGTGACAGAGCACTGCTGCGGAGCTCACGGTTCTGCTCTGGCTCTTCTTAAATTTGTACAAGGCTGTTCCTCCTAACACCATAGTAACACCCAAAGGGAGCAGCCCAGCTTCCCAAGAGAAAAGAGTCATCCTCAAAGCCTGGAGGTCATACGTGTCTGTGTGTGTACAGAAGCTTCACGTACCTAAAGCAGCTTGGGCAATGTGAACAGAGGTGAAGGCAGAGCAAAAAAAAAAAAAAAGCACACCTTGAATGGGCATGGCCTAAGCCAAATCACAAAGGGGCATGTTTCAAATGGGTTATCTAAGCTCCTGTCTACTGGGATACAAAGGCCAGAGTACTTCCTTTTCACTTGCTCTGCTCCTTCCAGCTCCACCTCTGGAGGGATAACCCTAGCTGGATAATGATTGACAGAGTCAGCCCTAAACAGTAACAAGCCCTAACCCAGGAATAAATAAGGCTATTACACTTTCCATCACAGGCTCATAGGTCTATGGGACCTCAGTCAGTAACGAACCTTGGCAAACCTCTATTCCAACCTCTCTCATTTTACAAACAATGAAACTGAGGCTTAGAGAGGAGAAGGCAGTTACCCAAGGTGATATAGGTCAAAAGTGGCAGAACCGGGATTCGTGTCTCACCACAAATAGGGAACAAAAATAACAATCATACTAATTAACATTTAGGCAGTACTTCAAAGTCTATAAAGTCCTTTACATAATGTTATTTCATTTAAGCCTCCTAACAACCCTGTGAAGTGAACACTGCATATCCCTTTTACAAGTAAGGAAAATGATTGCTAAAGGTGACTTGCTCATGGTCATGTAGGTATTAAAGGTAAAATTTGAATCTAAGTGTTCTTGACTCAAATTCCAATATTCTTTCTACTACACTATGGGTTTAGCAAGATCCATGTTTGATGAGACCATTTCACCATATAACAAAGGTTCCCTCCTTAGCAATGCTCCACTTTTGGACAATTAGTAGACAAACAAATATAAATCCCAATAATAATAATAATAATAGCAACTTCTTTCACTTGTAAATCATTTTAAAGTTTTTGAGTTGCTTTCACAGATATGATTTTACTTGATTCTCACAACAAGTATGTGAAGCAGGTAACAAAAGCATTATTTCCCCCATTTTACAGATGAGGAAACTAAGGTTCAGGGTGAAGAAGCAATTTGCCTGCAATAATACCTTTGGCAAGTGGCTGAGCAAGAACTAGAATCCACATATTCTGGTTTAAGTTTTATTCTACTACCCCAAATTGCCTGTCTTTCAAAGCTATGTACTCCTCTAACGACATCTGACACACAGGATGGAGGAAATCCTTTCTCAAGATTCTAGTAAAGCAGGACCTCAAGTACCTTAGATACCACATCTTCCTATTTTTTTTTTTTACACACAGGATCATTTTATGTAGGTTTAAGAAGAAGAGTCAGAAGAAGTCATCCATAGCCCTTTCCTGGCCTAAACAAAATGGAATTGAGCTCTTTTTTTTTTATTATTTAATAGCTCTACCTTTCATTAACCAAAAAGAATTATGATGAAACTCTACAGGTATAGCTCAATCATTGATTCTTCTATATCCCATTAAAAAAGAGCTTTCCAGGAAAAGAAGGGTCTGCCTAAATAGGAAACAAGAAACCGGTTTGGACTAGCATGGATTGCTAAATGCTATTATTTCTTTCGTCTTCCAGTTTTTATAACACACAAAAGTGAACTGGGTTTGGAGTTGGAGGACCTAGTTCTGCCACTTTATGGACTGTGTGATATTAAGCCAGCAACAACGTCACTAGGTCTCGGTTTTTTTCATCTATAAAAGGAGTGGGTTGGATTCCATAACCTCTAAGCTCCCATCCAACTCTAAATCTCTGATCCAATAATCATTCTTATCATTTCAAAAAAAAAAAAAGTAAGTCTCCTTCTGTGCATCAAAAAACAGCTCAGGTTCTTTAGTGACCATATCAGTTTAGAACCATGAGTGAATATATTCTTATGCCAACAGACCAAGAGTGATCAAATTTAAGTGTATGAAATATATTTGTCATTGTTTCCACATTCTTTTTTAGTGTTTTGTTGCCTGCCACTCCATGCCTAGCAACTTTCTTCACAGACATCCAGGTCCCCATGGATCCCACAGAGACCTGGAAGAAATCACCTCCTCTGCCCCCACCTGTCTCGTTCATCCATCCCTCTCTCTGGTATCTTCACAACCTTTACTTCCCACTCTTCCTTGAGAGTGAAGATGTGAAAAAGCAAGACTTCTTGTTAAATAATTATGACCATATTTCCAGGTGGAAAGACCCATGATGCAGTATTTCATGGAGAGGACTTTCAGCAGAGAATCATAAAATCATAGATCCCAAACCTGGCAGGACCATCAAACCCAGTCTTTTCATTTTATAGCTAAGGAAAATAAAGAAGATTAAGTGTCCGAAGTTGCACAGGCAATCAAAGAGCCAGATTTTTAAAATTATCTTATTTTTATTGATATATTTTATTTTATTTCACATTTGTTTCTGAATACATCCCTCCCCCCCTTCCTGCCTTGCAAGACATCCCTTGTAACAATTTTTAAAGCAGAAGAAAAAGCAGTCCAGCAAAACTAACCAACACACTGACCATGTCTGACAATTAATGCAATAGCCCATACTCCTATTCTTCTACCTCTTCTATGATGTGAGGGAAGGTGCATTTTCTCAACCTTTTTCTGGGACCAAGCTTAGTCACTGTACAGAAACTAGTTTCATAGGACAATTTTCATTCCTTTTACTTACATTTTTGTTATCATTGAGCATATTGCTTCTTCTATTCTTACTCCACTCTGTACCAATTCCTATAAGTTTTCCAAAACTTATCTGAATTCTTCATTTTTTTCATTTCTAATAACACAGTAACATTCCATTATGTTTGTGTGCCACTATTTGTTTAGCCATTTTCCAAATGATAGGCATCTATTTTGTTTCCAGTTTTTTGCTACTACAAAAATCAGTGTATATGGGATCAACTTTCTTAACTTTGCCTATTTTGTGGTATATGCCTAGCAGTGTGATTTCTAGGTCAAAAAGTATAAAAATCTTACTCTTTTTTATATTAATTCTAATTTACTTCCAGACGGGTTAAACCAAATTCACAGTTCCATAAACAGAACATTAGTGTTCCTGTCATCTTACAGTCCCTCTGACATTGACTATTTCCATCTTATATTACCTTTGCCAGTTTCCAAGAAATGAAGTGAAACCAGAGAGAGGATTTGAACTCAGGTCCTGTGACTTCAAATTCAGTACTTTTTTTCTCTGCTACATGTTTCTTCAAAAGTAGGATAATATAAGGGGCAGCTGGGTAGTGTGGTGGATAGAGCACTGGCCCTGAAGTGAGGAGGATCTGAGTTCAAATCTGTCCTCAGACCAAACACTTGACACTTACTAGCTGTGTGACCCTGGGCAAGTCACTTAACCCCACTTGCCTTTTTTTAAAAAGTAGGATAATATTGTGTCACAAAGAAGCACAAATTCAATTACAAGAACACACAGGGCATGAAAAAGTAGTTTCTATTTTTAACACAGATGTATTCTACAAATAGTCAGAACCGTGGACAGTGGTGGCTGTCAATCAATTCAAAAGCCTGCCCACTACTGTTATGTCACCCTCCCAGGTCCTTTCTTATTCATCTAATTAAATGATTCCTTCAGTCTCACAGCTCACATCTCCACCTCCTTGGCCATCTCCTTTTCTTCCCCTCCTAGCAAAGTTCTGCCAGTCAAAAGCCTCTTTCCAAAGGGTCATTGCTTCAGCAAGAAGTTTAACTGGATTAAGTAAACTAGCAATAAAATACAAATATCAGATACAGATGTTACAAAACCAGCAGCCATCTTAGTTCCCTTTTGCCACCAACCCAGAGAAGGTGGGGAGGGAGTGAGGGGCCACTGGAGGGTGTGCTTTAATAAGCAGGGTGAAAGAAAAAGTAATATTCGTCCTAAATGCAAACCTTATGATACCCACGGGGTGCAAAGAAGGAGGTGGTTTTAGTCAAACATTCAAGTCTGTTAACAAGTATAAGCTGGACTTCTTATTCATTGCTTGAATGGCTGTGAAAACTTACTCTTACCCCTATTGGCTTTCCATTCTTCATTGACTCAGCCAGATAGCAACTCCTTTGCCCTGCAGCAACCATTACTTCTCCTGACAGCTGGCTAATGCTGGAATAGAAAGCTTCCTCAGCTGCCACAGAGACAGGATAAAGCATAGAGAAAGAACTTTCCCATTGCCACCATGTCTCTAAGTCTCTCTCTCTGACCTTCATCATCAAAATCCACACAGAGCTTTGCGAAAACTCTTTGAGATAAGAAACTTTCATTTTTGTCTTTTCATCCCCAGGAGCTAACATCGTGCCTGAGACATAAACACTGGTCAGTTGGTTGAGGGATCATATTCACTCCATAAGTAGATCAATCCAATTGAATTTCATTCCAAGGGTGTGTCAATAGTTTCCTTTCTCTTGATGTCTCCCTCCAAGTAGGAAATGTAGCCACACCCCCTGTGCATACTCATTTTGCAAATACAGAAACATAGTCACTTTTAAAGTATAAAACCCAATGTTTGCCAAGTACTGGCAAATACCAAGTTAGGAAACCAACAATTTAACAACTAAACATATACTTCCGTGGAAAGTGGTTCATATATGCCTTACATATGCACATATATAACACATATGAAAATCTATGCAAAATTTTTGTTATTATTTATGAACTTAATGTTTTGCTCCTCAAAACAAAAAGCTTTCACTGTTCCCATTCTACTACAAATTTTAGTACTAAAGGATAGGAAAAAGGGGCTCTAGTTGCCTCTTCCAGGTAGAGGTAACTCTGAGGAAAGCATTCCTAAAGGTAGGAGGTCTAGCCTAATCCCTCAAAGACATTAGATTAGAAGGAGAAGCCAAGAGCAAAAAAAATCTATCAATTTTAACCACTTTCCTCCTGATTATTAGCCTTAAACAGGGACACATAAGCTATTCACAGAGCAAGACAAGACTTTAATAGTCTAGCTCACTTAAGGGTTGTTTGAATCATGGGTTCATACATGTAGAGCTGGAAGGGACTTTTGAAGTTATTGAATCTAACCCCATCATTTAACATATTAGGAAACTAGGCCCAGAAAGGTATAGTGACTTGCTCAAGGTCACACAGCTACTAAATGTCTGAGGTAAGATTTGAACCATGTATTCCTAAATCCACATTCAGCACTCTCTATCTGTG